AGGGAAAGTCAGGCAAGTCTTTTACACACTTTTACTCTGCTAAATAATTCAAAGACTGCTTTTCTTCCAAAGCAACAGGAAAGGGAGAAGGAAGGAAATGAGTCTTATCACCTTATCAGAAAGGGAAGAACACAAAATATGACACAGAATGCAAGAATCTAAGAGTCTCCAAAGATGTAATGATTTTAAAAAAATCTTGTGGACCCAATCTAGATTTTGTAGACTAGAACTATTTAGAGTAGCTGAGAGTACACTGTTATCCATAAAATACAACTGACAGGTATTTCATAACTAAAATTATATAATAAGGAAGCGCTCAGGAGGGGGAAATTATCCATACTTACATTGACATCAGTTCTATCAGCCACCCAACGAGCAAGCTGCTCAGCTGCAAAACCTCGCACCTGAAGTTCATATGTGTCACCTCTTTTAGGCTTCCCTTTAGCAGGAAAGTTAATGAAGGTTGGGGCAGAATTCATGTTTAGCTGTATTTAAAAAAAGTAAAATTAAAAAAAAAATCAGAGAAGTTTCTTAACATATGCTTTCATTTCTGTAGACATTTCATTTGCATTTTGCAACACAGTAGACATCAAACCAATCACAGAGGCTATTCATTAAATGGATAACTGGGGGCGCGGGGGGGGAGGGAAGACAGCACAGCAACTTGAACTTCTATATCTTACAAAACAGCCTAAATTCTTGCCTGTTCTAAGGCTAAAAATCAACACGTATGAGAAATTCTGCATATTTCCCTTGTACGTGCCATGCTGTTTTCTCTTTTTAGTATTCAGAAACATTTTCATCCCTATTTCTTAAAGGGGAAAAAAAAGTTTTCCTTTAATAAAAAAAAGTTTATTTCTCAGTAAACTTGTTCACATCCAAGAGGGCTTATTAATGTGATTGACAAGCCTTCATTAGTATTCAGGTCTATAGCTAACAGGTGATCCAAAAGATTCAGTCCAGTTAATAGATTTATAATACATAAGTAAGCAGAAAATATTTTAGAAAATAAAGTTCTATCTTTTCCTAATGAAGACCATTCTTCCTCACAGCATTTCAGGTTTTTGTAATCTGTTCCTTCTACAGATACCATTACCCAGAGAGAAATCTGCCAAACAGTAGTAGGAATATGCACGGTAATATAAGAAGTCTGTAGCTTAATGAATGAATTTTTGATATAATACACGATGGGAAAATTTAACAAAAACGAAGACAACCATTTCCACTTCTCTAGTCCAAACGTTTCTGTTCATTAAAACATCATCGCTCAAATTATGTAGCTTTTAAACATTGAGATGAATACCTCTTTGTAAATTTGTAAAACTACGATCGACTATTAATTTGATCTGGAAGAGCAAACGTACATGCAACATTCTCGTAAACTAAAAAAAAAAAAAAAATTAGTTACATAATGTTGGTAGAAGAGCAAAATGACCAGGTACTTCAAAAATCAGCAGGTTAACTGACACTGAAAGTTCTACCATTCTCTTGTTATCTAAGACTTTAATAGCTGTTCCTCAGGACATCACTGTTTTCTATTTTGTCTCTTTCTATGTTAAAGGACAATTCCATTAAAATTTACACTGTATGCTATTAAAGAGGGAGACTCAGCAGAAACAATCAGATAACCCAGTTCACTCCTTGTGCCTATTCCAGATTTGTCCGTGCTATTAATATTACTGCCAAAACGCTACCGTCTTCTACTCTCCTCATCTCTTCCGAATTAGTGTGGCAGCTTTTAACTTTTCAATTATTTCTTTAATCACTGTAACACTACATCTCATATATATCTCTATCCTCTTGTCCTCATTCTCCAAAATCCGAGTTAAGAATAACGTCTCAAGAGAAGAGAAAGGTTTTACCATTTGAAACACATCTGAGCCTTCATCAAAATCTACCATAGCAAAAAAAATCTTATTGGTAAATGCACTGGAGTATCGCCAGGAGTTTGCCAGAATCTGGTATTCCTCATCAGCTTGCCTGTAAAAACACAAAAATGAGACGCTATGCCGCATTTGTCCAAACACAAGTTACAGAATGTAACCATCCACCCCATTCACCTCTCTATGTTCATTTTCAAGTGTTCAGATTTTAAAAAGTTCAAGGCTAGATATTCATCTAACAACCGCATTCAGCAGTTGGACACAACACTACTTGCCTTTGACCTTACATTTCAAAAACGGTGGTACCACGACCACAAGCAATGGTAATTTCCAGGGGATGCTTAGAGAAGCTTCAAGTGAAACACGGCAGCTCATGACTTGCTAGTCTATGGAGCACCAGAACAAGTATAGGTGTGTCCTCTTCTCCGTGCCAAAGAACGGGAAACCAACTAGCTTCACATAACTAGGCACAAAAAAAATTCATCTTTACAGACCCCTGCCTCCTCTGAATCAATACATAAATGCCATGTGTTTAAGGGTCTAGCATATCATCACAGTAAGTAAGTAAGTGCCAATCAACATATTGATTAACAGTAACTTTTACACTGCAAGGCCAGCAGTAATTCTGCAAATATTCTTCTTTCTTAGCAGCTCATGCCAGAAAAGTTGAGTTTTCATCCTATACTTTTCCAGAGGCCTATTACGACGAATATTCTGTCTGCGTAGCAGCAATTATTTGAGGAGGGCCGTCAAATCGTTATTTTTCCACATACGTATTATACATTATTCCCACACAGTTAACTTCAAAGAAGATTCTACTATGATGTGCTTTAATATCTTCCTGCCACATGCCTGGAGCAAAAAAAAAAAAAAAAAATTCATCCTCCACCTAAACTTAATTTCCTACAAGGTGTATGAAGATTTTCAAGCTCTAACTTAGAACTGAATTAAGCCCATACTTGCAGACAACACACTGTCTGTGAGGCTGAAGAGCAGTGAACATCACGATCACTGAGTAATTTCTAGGTGGTGCCTTCACAAGGCGTCGAAACTTGTCTCCGTTCATTCGGATAACGGATCTTTTACTAGCCCACTCCATTAATTGGCTCACTTTTTCTGATAACACCATCTGAAAGCAAAAGCAAAGAAGCGTTGAATGCTTTTTTTAATCTATAACAACACAATCTTGAAAGTCTTTATACTTGACACGACAAAGTATTGCACAGCATTTCACCAGCACATTAAGATGTAACACTCCGATAAGATTCTTGAAGGCATTCACAGTCCCTTGACAGTCATGCTGGTGATATTAACCTCAAGCACTTATGAACTTAATATTAGATTTGCTGATGAAGACTATCACCTCATTAGCACTTTCTCTTACAGCTAATTGGGAGACCTGTTTCAGGTGTATGAACTACCCCAACCAATTAGCCCCCCGACAATTTTTATTTCGTACCAAGCATCATGTTTTGTTTCAAAGCGTTTCAAAACTCAGTGGCCAGCAGAATTAACACAGCAGCTGGAAGCACCATGGAAAGAAGTACAGCATCTAAACTTCAGGATTGATGTAAAACTTAATCAGGTAAATATTTCAGAAAACTCCAGAGTGCTCATCCCTAAATCCTTCTTTTAAAATAAAGCAAATAGATGTTGGTGCACCAGTTCTACACCTTTATTCAACAAGCACTACATAAGTGACAGAAATTGAACGTTGTGTTTATCGTATTCACTGCTAACATTGCCAACACTGCTCTTTAGGAGCAGAGAAAGAGCTTGCAATAAGTAATTAACTTTTTATTTTTAATTTACATCGGAAGAAGTGTAGCAAAGGGATCTTTTTAAAGCCTAGAAAAGGCCAATACGTTAAAAAAAGAAGAGCAAGCAAGCAAGCAGGAAAAACGCCGCCGTGCGGAGCCCCCAAGGCCCGACTCCCCCAGCGCAGG